GGCTCGGGTCGGCTCCAGGTGAAATTCAGGACTCACAGTTAAATCTGAAAGTCAGGTAAACAATTTTTTTCAGTATGACTATGTTCCAAATATTGCACTGATCTAGGAAGTTAGTCGTCGTTTACCAGAACATTCAAGTTTAACTGGGCATCCTGTATTTTTTCTATATCAAGCAACACTAGGCCCAAAGGGCGTTGGCTGGGTTCCCTCGCTTGCCTCAGTTTACCCAGACACGGCAGCCAGGGGGGGCTGTGGGCTCCTCGTTTGAGATGAGGAGACTAAGGCACAGTGGGGTATCCCCTGTGAGTTCCTGCTCAGTGACTTGGGGGACAAGCTGGGGCTCGAAGCCAGGCCCCAAGATAGGCAGCTAGGCGGCTCCCTTCCAAAGCACATGCCGTCCACCTCCCTCCCCGGGCCTGGCCTTCCAGCCCCACTTCGACTGTCGCCACGACGGAGACCTCACTCCCACTCAAGGCCCATCAGTCTCGGGTCGTGAGCAGGGGTTCTGGGGAAGAACCCCTTCCAACCTGCTTGGCCAAACCCCGGGCCCACCCGAGGTGGTGGGGCTCTGGGAGAGGACTTCTGCCCAGGCCTGGGGCTGGACCGTGCCGTCCACCCAAGCTCGAGAGCTTCCGCCTGGTCCGTGGAGAAAGTCAGGCCAGACAATGGAGCTGGGGTCCCCCGGGGCCCAGCCCCCACCTCGTTCCTCTCCCCGCCTCCCCCAGGATGCTCCAGCTGCAACGGCCACCGGAGCCAAGGCTGTCGCAAGAAGCAACGTTCCTCCAGCCCCGAACAGGATTCAGGGGAGGGGACCAACGGATCCATCTGCAGGGACAGGAGGGCGGGAGCCCTGGGGGCGTCCTGCTGGTCCCTGGGCCCCCCCTCCATGTGTGGCCACATGGGGACAAGTGAACCCCCATGGGTTCCTCAGGGGATGATGGTCCTGCTTGTCCAGAGTCTGGCACACGGCAGGCACTCAGTGCCTCCCTTTAATCCCTCCCTTCTCCACACGCGCCCGTCAACAAGTCCTGCCCTCTCCCCACTTAGCGGGGCCCCTGAAGTTACCACAGAGCACTTAGTAAGCGCCTGCTGCATACACAGCCCCATTTTCAGTCCACAGAGAGGGGAATGTGGAGGAAGCCACGTCTTTGTGGAGGAGGTGGCTCAGGCGGGGAGACCTCATTTGACCCAAGCTGCATTTATTGAGCGCCACCTGTGTACCACACTCATACATCTCATGGAAGTCAAGCATATCAACGGGGTTCCTTTCCTGCTGTGGCCACTTACTCGCCCACTACATCACCTTGGGCCACCAACTTAACCCCTCCGTGCCTCGGTTTCTTTGCGTGTAGAAGGGAAGTTATAATGATGGCCTCCATCTCATAAAATCCCAAGGACTGAATGAACGAACAATGGTAAAGGTCTTAGATAAGGAGGTGAAATCCTGGAGGGTTTGCTAGCCATTGGCCACCGCCAGGAGGGCAGTGCAGCAGTGGCCTGGTGTACAGGCTGGGAGCCCAGCGCCGGGCTGCTGACCTGTCTTGACACCAGCAACCCCGCTGCAGCGAGCCGTCGAGCTCGCAAGTGACTGCGCTTTGGGGTCTGAGCTCCACCCCAGTGGGAAACATGGTCTGGGTGTCTTTCCCTGCTGCCAAAGGCCTGGGGTCCCCTGAGCTATAGAGAGTGGTCCCCAGCAACAGAGGCCCCCCTGGGATCCTCCGAGGACCCCCTTGCCCTGGACGCCTCTCAAGCCTCGCGTTCTGATCACCCTACTGGCTGTTCACGTGGGGTTGCCTTTCCCCGAGTCTCAGCCCAGCCGACCTCTGGCAGATCAGCCCAGCGCCCCGACCCCCCGGATTTCGCCCTTGGGCCTGGTCCTTGCTGCACAGAGCTTCCCTGGGTCGTCCTGCACACGCCTGAGCCCCCTAGAGACAGAGCCCCCGGCTGCGTCTTCGTGGGTCTTTCTGTTCCCAACATTCCCTAGCAAACTGCTACCTGCAGCACTGTGGACTTTTTATAAAAACCACGTCCCCTCCCCGGGGCCCTGGGAGATGCAGGGAATTCCCGGCCTCCCCTGCCACGCATCAGGGTACATTCCCAGAATTCAGCCACGTCCCCTGTCCCCACGCATGTTTGCTGCTGTGACTGCTGTAAACTCACCGCGGCATCCCCCCTCCGGGGGCCCGCCGAGGCGCGAAAGGTGAGCCGGGCAGGCCTGGGAGCTCTCGCCCCCGCTCGACCTTGCACGCCGCCACCAGGTGGTGGCAGAGTGACTCAGGAGTAAAGAGCCATCTCCTGATTCCCATGTGTCCCACGAGCAGTTTGTCCCCTCTCTGAGCCTCGATGGCTTCATTCCAGTGGCCTCTCGCCCGCCGGCCAGTGACCCCAGCTTCAGCTGGGGCGTCTCATTAGGCCCGTGCAGCTCATGTCTGCTCCCCTGCCCGCCACCTCCCGCCCCGCACTGCCCTGACCACCCCGCCCCCACCTCGCTCCATCCCAGCCACACACGGTGCCTCGTGCCCCGGCCCTCCCATGTCCCTGCCCAGGGCCCTCCCCCTATGTTTCTGCTCATGGTTGGCACTTAGCTCGGCACCACTGCCTCCTCCAGGAAGCCTCCCGAAGGGCCCCAGGCTGCCATGTCACACGGCCTGGTCCTCCAGCAGCACCCCGAGCTGGAGACGAGAGCTGGAAGCTACGCTCCCAGCCCCGAGGAGGGCCTGGCTGGAGGTCCTTGGACAGTTCTGGGAAGCGTCTGGGGTGACGCCCTTTTCCAGATAATGAAACCGAGGCACAGAGGTGGGCAGCAACTCGCCTGGGGCCCCGGCGGCAGGACTGGATGAGACCCCATGTCTGTGGGTGCTGGGGGAGTGGGACTCGCTGTGACCTGGGCCCTCCGCCAGCCTGCAGGCCTCGGCTCCACACCCCCGTCCCGACTCTGGAGTCTGGGGACTCAGAAGCTGGGGACCCCTGCCCCCACGCCTCCCCGTGTGGGAAGAACAGACAGGAGCCAGTGGGGGTTTGAACTTTTATTGACGGCACGTGTGGCTGGACCCCGGTCCCCCGGCCCCCTGTTGGGGCTTGCTGTCCTGCTTCAGCCCCAGGGGGTCGGGAAATGGGACTCAGGGGCTGCCCCCGTCCCCCGTGCCTCTCAGCACGGACTGAATCCAGTCCACGTAGAGCGCCACGCGGGCGAAGAAGTCGGGGTACTGGCGATTGGCGCACGCCTTGATCAGGAAGGAGTCCACGGCCTGGAGGACGCCGTTGCAGATCAAAGGGCCGCCGGAGTCTCCCTGGGAAGGGTGGGGACAGGGCGCTCAGCCCCCCGGGACGCGGCTACGTCGGGGAGACAGCAGCTGGCAGCAGCCTGGCACTGTTTAGGAGTCAAATGTTTCCAGCCCAGAATTTTCTTTCAGACACACGGATGACGGAGGGAGACGAGGCCACTCTAGGTGACACCGGGTGTTTGTGGCCTCCTACTGTGTGCCTGAGGCCCCAGGCCCAGGCCGGGCCTGGACCTCGCACCTCCCCAGGGTCTGGAGGGACCCCAGCTGGAAAGTCCCCGGATCCACGAAGGTCAGCAGGTACGACGTGCGTGCCTCGCTGTGCCTTAGGCCTCGCCTGTGGAAACCTCACGCTGGGTGTGCCCCCTCCAGGTGGGGGACGGAGGCACAGCCCATGCTGCTCAGTGAGGAGGGGGACACTCCAACAGCAGCCCGCCGCCCACCCCGCCCACCTGGCACCCCATCCGCTCCAGGCAGCACCCACCGCCCACGGTGTGGCGCCCTGGGAGCTGGGCAGATACGTACGAAGCAGATGCCAGCCTTGCGACGGGGAACAAAGGTGCATACGTTATGTGGCCGGCACAGGATGGTCACCACGGTGACATTGAGCTCCTGCAGGACGTGGGCCGTTGGCTCGCTTGTGCCTAGCCGGCCCCAGCCCATGGCCAGGCATTGGGTGCCTTGGGGCAGCGTCTGGCCCTGCTCGGGGAGCTGGGCCACCGCCACCTGGGCGTTGAGGTTGGCCGGGCGGGTCAGCGAACAAGGGTGACGGGCAGTGAGACCCTGTCTCCAGACCCCACAGACACCCGGGCCTCGCATCCAACCGAGTCCCGAGCACCCCGAGGTGCCGTCTCTGGGCGTGCTGTTCCCTCCGCCCAGTCCCCTCCCACTCGCTCTCAGGTTCCACTTTGGGGGTCACCTCCTCCAGGGAGCCCGCCCTGATTGACCTCCAAACCTGGCCAGGGCTCAGTTTTACGTTCTCTGATGCCATGGGCCTCCTCTTTGTAGCATTTGTCACTGGGGCACGCATTCGCTTACAAAGCACATATTGGGCGCCAACTGCATGCTCCGTCCTCCGCTAAGACCCGGGACCCTACCTCTGCTCCCTGGGGCTGATCTTCCGCGTTTG